GCTGGTATCACAACTGGGACTCAAAACCTGTTAAAGCTAAAGGTCAGCGCTTGTTGCTTCACCCAATCCAAGAACAGTTCCAATCTTTGATGATATTGCAAAGCTAACTAACCTGTTAAAGCTAAAGGTCAGCACTTGTTGCTTCACCCGATCTGAGAACAGTTCCAATCTTTGATGATGAAGAAGCAGAACAGATTGGGTGGAGCGAGCACTATCTAGCTAAACTACAAACCAGGTACAAGACTATGCTACTATGCGTACAAGGTTTGTGTGTGTCTAGTCATGTACAGTAGACTCTAGAACTCAACACAACTGAGAATGTGTCAAGTTACTAGGCCAGACAGGATTTTAAGGGGTTGTGAAGGAGTGAATCAAAATAGGGTATTAGTATAAGTCAAATCAAAATCTGGTGTTGTTGGAGGTAACTTATACGTCAATAAAGGCAGATACTGGGGTACTGCCCAAGTGCCTGACCAGTAAAGTATTGGCCTCTACGGTACTTTACCGGATACGGTATTGGATCCCAGGATACCTTACCTGGACCTGGCGAGTACAGTATTGCCAATACCAATACTAAGTTTTGGGGTGGGTAAGATTCTGTACTAAAACATATGATACCAATACTTTACTGAAAATGGTCAAATAAAGGTGGTAGCATTGCTTACAGTCCCTAATATCTTACAAGAAATCCCTTTAACAATTCAATCCTCAGCATTATTAACGGCATTCTTAGCAACCTTAATCTCACCTACATCTGAATTGATACAAAGTTTGATTGTTAGTAGGAACCAATGGGGAACACCCACTAGGACTGGGAAAGGATTTGACGGACAGAGGATTTAGCCACCTCAATAAGCGCATGAATCCCCTGGAAGTTGACCAAAGGCATTTATACAAACAGGAGGTGTCACAATTTCTCCTGCAAGCCCAAGAGCCCCAACCGTCAGATGATTTCACCAAAACCAAAGCCAGAGCAACCTGTGAAAGGTATATTGGTCTATCCAGAAGTGTTCTGCCATAGGCTTTTGGCTGAGGTGGGGGGCAAATCTGAATAGACAGCTTGTCTTAGGGAGGGTCATGGCTGTATGCCACCCTATCTTGTTTAGTGCCATGAAGCTTACTAACAAAAATAGGGACAATTTATATTGATTGAACAGTGGCTTAACTGTTTGCAACTCGCTTTCAACTACAGTTGAATTGCAATTCTGCAGGGCTTTGCCCAGTCCCAACTGAATCCAATTAATGCACCGACCCGGTCCCGACCCGACAAATCTGGCCTGGACCGGGGCCGACCCCCCCTTCAGGCCGGGCCGACCCGGTCCGGAAGCCCTAAATTGGTGACAATCGCTTGAAAAACCAAAAAAAGCCCTCTGGCTTCTTTTGATATCAAGATTTACCTCAAAATATATTGAACTTAGTCAATCATTTATCCCCAAAGTTCAAACACGGCCACGATGCCGCCCAAACACCCTCGCCCTTCTTCCATGATCGTCCTGTCAGACTCCGAAGAGCAAATTCATTCGACAACTTCAAGCTCAAGCACATCAAACGCCGTCAAACTCACCCAAAACCAGAAATCTTGGGTTTGGAAATTCTTCAAGACCGAAATTCGTGAAGGTGTCGCTAGATAAGTCTGCCAGGCTGCAAAACCTGCCGGTAGTAATCACATTTGTGGAGCCGTGATGACCCCTGATCGAACTCAGAGCACGAAGTCCTTATCTCGACATCTTGCCCGTTTTCACAATATCACTGACAAGACCGAACCCCAACAAGGAGCAATCAAATCTTTTCTTCAAAGTGGGACAATACAAAAGGTGAGTTTGTTTCGAGATGAACATTTACTCAAGTTTCTTTCATTTTTCTTTTCGTTCTTTTTTTTTTTGGTTTTCTTATCTCTTATATTTTTTTTCGATTCTTTCGATATTCCATCTTTTCATCTGTTAGCTTCCCAAGCTGTCTTGCGAGTCTCTCAAGTATCAACTGGTCAAACTGATCACCAACGGTGAAATGCCGGCGGCCGTTGTCGATCGCGAAGAGTTCAAAGATCTTCTCCGTATCTGTAATCCGGACATTGGGCCTCTTCTTGTTGGCTGCGATTGTGTATTGGAAACAGTTAAAACTCAGTTTCGAGTCTGTCGAGTTCTTCTCAAGGACGTCTTGGCCGACGCTCTTGCTATCAACATTACCTGTGACGAGTGGTCTTCCTCAAACAATGTTCCAATTCTCGGGATTACTGCTCACTGGATCGATGATAAATTCAAATTACAAGAAGTTATTTTAGCAATGCAAGAAATTGAAGGTCCAAAGACCGGTATCAACCTTGCAAAATACTTTATCGAATGTCTTCAAAAGTTTAATATTGAATCTAAAGTTTATTGTGTTACTGCCGACAATGCATCAACTAACGGAGCAATGGCACGAGAGATTGCTAACGAACTTGACCAATTTCAACGAGAAACTAATTTACTTGGATGCGTAGCTCACGTTATAAATCTAGTTGCTCGAGCTGGTATATCTGTATTCTCAAAAAACTTGGGCGAAACAACTTTGGTCAACATAGCCGATATACTTGAAGATGATTCTTTCGATCAAATCAATGCTCCTGGAGCCATCAGTCGTCTCATGGGATTCATTACTGCCACCATGAAGACCCCAAAGCGCAAGAGAGCCTTTGAAAAGCTTGTTGAAGCCGAACTAAGTCGCTCTCTTGGCCTGATCCGAAATGTAGAAACTCGATGGAACTCTGACCTTAACGCCCTGAAGCGAGCTCTGGAACTCAAGGATGTCATCGACTTGAAATGTTCACGAGACCCCGATATGAGCAAGTTTAAACTCACTCAGACCGAATGGGAATTGATTTCCCACCTTGTTTGATTCCTTGAACCTTTTGAAAAAGCAACAAACATGCTTTCTCAGTCATCTTACACGAGTCTCGATGCCGTCTTACCTGTCTATGAGTGGCTTGAAACTCAACTTGACAAGGTAAGACTTTTTTTCACTTTTGCAATCTTCTGTTGAATGTTCTGTGCTGATTTTTCGTTTCCTAACAGGCTTTAATCATGTTAGAAAACCATCCAATCCGACCTGCGATTGCTCCTATGAAGAACAAGCTGGCCGAGTACTTTGACAACGCCATAAAGAAACCAGTCTATCTTTGTGCTCACCTATTGGACCCTCGCAGCAAGGATCATTAACTTTCTTCGGTCACTCTCCTGCGAGCAGGAATCATCAATCAAGATGATTGGCGAGACACCTTTTTGACAGAGGCTCGCCAATTCATTCCAAACTCCGAGCAAATTGATGAAGATATCGAATCAATCACTCACACTGAAGAAGATGGACCTCGATCATTCATTTCAGCACCTAAGAAGAAGCGAACTTTAGATGTAGAACTTGTTGCTTACCTTGCTGAACCTCGAGAGCCAGGGAATCATGATCCCTTGGATTATTGGAATGAAAATGCAAAGAAGTATCCCTTGCTATCCAAGATGGCTCGAATCTTCCTCTCGGTTCCAGCATGCAGCACTCCTTCCAAACGCGCCTTTTCAGCTGGAGGACGTGTTCTCACTAAGCGTCGCCATGGTCTCAAATCAGATACATTTGAAGCGCTTGTATGCCTCAAGACTTGGAATAAGGTGTTAACTACGATTGTTTTGTTTTTTTCCATGTTTTTCTTTTCTCTACCTTTCTATTTCTAAAATTGTTTAGTCAATAGTATCTAGCCTACAACTAAGTCACAAAACACAGTCTTGTATACATGGTTTTTGAAGAAATAAAGATGAGTTTCACCTAAACCTGCCCCCATGCCAAAATAGCGGGTCGGTCCGGGTCAACCCGTTATTACCAAGATCCCCGCCGAAGCCCGCTTGACCCGTTCTCGGGACCGGTCCCGGCCCGGTTTTTCCGGACCGGGTCGGTGCATTAAATCCAATCAATCTGAAATATTATCAAATCATTTACCTTCCTTCTCTCCATTAAGTTTGGCTTCTTCTCAACATTCTGATTCACATACTTCAATGTTAGAGACCCTCTTGACGGTTATCAATTCTATTGAGGTTCATAATACTGCTCTTAGTACTCTTAGCTTTCAGTCTTGTCAATTGGCTAGAGATAGAGCTAAACTTGAAAAGAATGAGGTTCGGGTTCAACAAGGTTTACCTCCTTTACCTCCTTCATCTGAAGAGGTAAGATTGAGTTTCGCTCGCTTGAAATTACTCAGATTGATATCCTGGTAAACTAATTGGTATTCTCTTTGGGTGCTTTATCAGGTGTAGATGGAGCAGCTAAGAAGCTTTGTGAGATTAGTGAATTGGGTGTGATTAGAGCATTTGGAGCTAAAGCTGGAATTTAAGAACAAAAGTTAGCAAATGATAAAGTCACAGTACAAAATAACATATATATGGAAGCATGATGAAAGAAATGAGAACTATAAGGATTTTGTTATAGATAAAACTGATTGGAATGTTTTGTAATCCATTTCTTTTGAACTTTTTTTGAATATGATTTGATGTGAATGAGATTGGATTAGAGATTGCTATAAGTCGAATGGTGGTGAACTTTTTTTGAAAGAAACTCAATAGTGGTATACACAAAATTGAAAACCACATGAGAAACCCGTACGGAAAAACCGCATGGATTTTTTGGTTGTTGTGGGGAAAACCAACAAAGGAAAACCAAATGTGCATGGTTCTATTTTCTGAACGGACAAAGTGGCACAGGTAATACTAATGGTTAAATTCGCATTGCAGTTCTTGAATTCGGAGGAAAAAGGAAACAGAAAGCAAAACTCTGTTCAAATTCAAGCTTTACTGATCCCCTTTGGTTAATATAGGTTAATCGTACTTCGTATTGGGAGAATTAATGGTGAAATCCATGCACATACCTCATCCCAGGCTTTGAAGGTTGGGATGAATAGAGTACATGAGGGTCAACCCAAGTCATCTATATGTATTGACGTCAAATGAAAGGCCATGGAGTTGTTTTATAACTTCTGATGATCAAGTTGAGCCCATACATTCTTTTCTTTTCCCAAACTTCAATATATTTTGCCGTTCCATGTCTCAAATCATCGAAAGCCGAGTGCTTAACTTCGTCATTCACTTAACCCCGAACCTCAACCCTTATCGTGCAACAGCTGATTATATCGACACCTTCCTTCTAGTGCGTGTCGATACATAAACGCGATTCTTTGTTGAGAATCCAAGGTCTGACATAACAACTTCTGCTGATCTGCATTTTCTCTCTCTCTGTATCCAAAGCCATGTCCTCTGCCGTCTTGGTCCCGTTACGTGCAAGGCTTTCTGGTATTGGGGTTGATAATGTCAGAATAGCTTGTTTCTGATCGACATAACTGAGACAAGACAGGTGTTGAGACTCTAGTTGACAATATCACTGACGTTGGACGAATTTGCCGTTCAGAATGTTCCTTCAATCAGCCTACATTATCTATCTTCGCTCCAAGACAAAGAAAATGTATCATATTGGTTTGAATGCAGGTGAGTGGAGCGCAACTCGTGATCTACTTAAGCTTGTCATGAATGCTTATTTACTTCCTGATCAGTGGGACTCATACAACTTGATCGTGCGAACCACTGTGGATTGTGCTACTTGCTATATAGTATATGTAAGTACGCTTGCCTCGTGCGAGTTTGGTCCACCAGAAGAGGTTGACCCAACGTAACGGTATACTTTTCTTCACTAGTTGCAATGGCAGAGATCGTATGTTACCAATTCGCACAATCTGGTCATTTGGACGAGGGATGGCCAAATTTCTTACTAGGCATTAAGGTTTTGGTTTCGATTGCATGTGCCTGGTGAGCTTTCATCACTCATTGCCTCATTTCCTCTTAAAGTGCTGATATGATTGAATTTTCTTTAGCGGTAAGCAATTTGACTTGGTTTTTATCCTTGATCATTAGTTCATACGTTGAAAAAATCTCTTTCCCCACATCAACGCACCTTGACTTAGTGATCTTATGGCTGTGCATCTGTCATTTTGTCTTTGTCAGACAGAGAGCTGTCTCAGACGATTTAGCCCCGAAGGGACGATTGCTCTCAACCACTGCAACATGGGCACTGAATATATCTTTGGTGATGATCATCTTAGTACCAAGTGGTCAGCTTATTGTTTCAATACTACTTTACACGATTTGCTCTCCCTGAAATCATCTTTGAATCTTAGCAGTCATTGTCACCGTTTGCTCCCAACTTACCTATGAATATGGTCGTGTGAGACAAGTGGTGATGCCTGTCACCAAACATTTACGGCATTTGGCGCACAATTGCACCTCAGGAAGATGTAGCGTGAATCATGTTGCATCCCAAGTCATTGTACTCACGCGCGCCGTGCATCACATTGTAAGTCTCACTTGAAAATATTAAAATGAGTTCGGCTGTAATTCCAATTCCGCTTCTTTGATCAGGATCGTTTGGTACATGACACAACGGCCAGTATATACTTTTATGTGTTCTGTGATGCATTGAGTTTTTTGGTACGTCTTATATTCATATAACAGAGATCCTAGTCTCAAATCTTATACTTCAATCCTATCAGTTTTATGTCCCATTTGTATATCTATTATTTCAAAGCTTCAAGACTCAACGAGGATCGGATCATTCGACAAAACGACAAACAGGTGGTGTCTTTTCTAACACCGTGATAGAAGTGGTAATGATATTCTTACGTGTCGTGTTAGGTGTCTGTGCAGTATGTATTGAGCTTTAATCTTGATCATGATCCAATTCAAAGAGACTTGACCCCTTAATTGGATCTACTTCACGTTCTTCAATTTTTTTTGAAGATTCGTTTAATTCGCAATGGTGAATTCATCATGGACGCAAACTTTTGGCTTATCCTTCGCATTGTAAGCCTTGTTTTGTTTTCTTTAGGATTTGATTTTTCCCCTATCTCATACCCTGTTTACCATCATCATGCAGGGTATAACTAGTACCATTTCAACCTTAGGAAACATGTGAGCACATCAATTTGGTTGTGATCATATGGGGCGATACTAAGATGATCAACTTCCGCAGCACCTTGTTCTTGATCTTAGACAGTCTCAGGAAGAATGATACCATTGACCCCGCGACTCGAATCTCCCTCTCAAGGTTCACAAGACTCATGCCAATAGGTACCCATAAATCTGATGGAAAGTCTTTGGTATGATATTCACATCCAGAGACTTTGACTTTGATTGTGACTTTAGTATTCTCTTCCTCGATCAGATTTCATATTTTTCACAGCTCTGAAATCGTAATCTATCTCAATTTCTAACTTTCATTACAATCAACTTGTATCATTCCTTGAAGCTTCAGTACACTTTTAAGATGTGTTATTGGAGTTTTTAAATAATCACTCTCATTTTCTCTTTACCCATCACAAAGTTAAATATGTATGAAGCCGATATTTGGACACCATTCATTCAATTTGATATCTATTAGTATGGTTCAAGTCAAATGAAAATTGTGATGAGATGAAGTAGCTGATGGTGATGTGATTTGGTGCTGAGGTGAGTGGGGAGGAGGGGTGAGCTGGTGTAGTTGGGTGTGACACTCATGGGGTTTCTGGCACTCTGGAAGTGTGGTGCATTCAAATTTGCCTAATGCCAGAACGCCAGAACACACCAAAAAAAAAATTCTGGCGTTCTGGAAGAAACCTTCTGGTGATTTCCAGAACATATTTGTATACCCTATATGTAAAGGGGGAGAAAGATTGGAGGGGAGTTTGGGGTGGTTTCACTCCTCAGGCTCCTGGCTCACCTCTGTGAGTCAAGGGGTTGAGGAGTAAACCCTTTTCAGGCCTGCTCTCATTCTCACGGGTAGCTCATACCAGCACAGTTCCTATACTTGGCTGGGACAGAGCTACCCAGAGACCACCCCCACACCATGTGTAACACAATGCCTATGGTATTGAGTAGGGTTGTGTAGTGGTAGAGTGAGAATGTAGAGGGAAATAGAGCTGTAGAGGCTCTTAACATCAATGACTTAATCTAAGGGAATTGGATTAAGATTTAAGGTAGTGTATTTTTTTTACATTGCTTAAAGTGTCACTAGAGCCGTGAGGCTATCAGACACAGCATGTTTCCCAGAACCGGTAAAACCCCTCTGGCTGTGTCAGGGAAAAGGTTGCTGTTGGCTGTTTCATCTAGTGTACAATACATATATGTTTATAGTGATCAAAATGTGGGTGCGCTATAGGATGGGGGTATGGTGGTCGTTACCTGTCTTTTGGCAAGTCTTTGTCTACATACATGCTCTAAGAGTAAATGGTGTAGAGCAGCAAAGACGAAAAGGGAACTAGATAACTAGTGTCAGTTTAGGACTACCAAAACAATAGAGGAATGTGACGGAGAAAAAAGCTGAAACAAGTAAGATAGAACACAATTATATATGAAACATGTTTTGCATGGCGTTACAACAATGACACAATGAGAAAAGAGAAACCAGGTCATTCCATAACATTCATAAACATTCCGACTAGTCCAAACCAAAAGAAGGTTAGGTAGGCTTTGTGCCTAGCCATCCTGATGCCTAGCCAGCCATAGCCTCAACACCCCCCTCAACCTTTTAGAGGTTCACTTATCTATGTCATACAAATATTCTTTTTATGAACCTGAAAAATAATGTTGCCTAGAGATTTTGTCAAGATATATGCTTTTTGATTGGGTCTGTCAATCCATTCAACTTTCAAATTACCATCAAAGATTTGTTTGTTAACGTAATGAGATTCTCAAGATACATGATGAGATTGTTTTGTAAGGTGAAGATCTTGAGCAACTTTGATTGCAGCTGTGTTATTGTGTCATAGAGTTGTGATGAATACCTGCTTAAAAATGTCTCCTAATAGATTTTGAATCCAGATAGATTCCCTTGACGCTGTGCCCAGTGCCATATATTTGGCATGACAGGTTGACATCACTACACAACTCCATTTTCCCTGAGGTGTGTAACGAGTCAGGTGCACAGAAGTGCCCGTGTTACCTACGTGTCAGGATGTTTCTCTATCCATGAGATAGGGTTCCTACCTTCTAGGAACTGTCCTACCACGTACCCCGAGGAGATTCGACCCCTACATGAGAGGACGGCATCCTACAAGGTTGCGGTTTGGGGGTGGTCCCAAAGGCAAGCAAGCGTAGGAGGGTTGGCTCCGCCAACCCTCATTCCGTACCTTTGGGGCGAGGACAGCCCCAAGAAGTGAGAACTTCTCAACTCCACCACTCACGGGAGTATGGAGCCATGAGCCTGAGAAGCCAAACCCCCCACAACTCAACTCATTCGGCGGCTTAGCGTGTTGTGGATCTTTTGGAAGACCAGCAGATGCATGGAAGAATATAATGATGAAAGAATTTGATCTGATAACTATATTTAGGTGGGTAGATGATAATCTTTTCATCAAGAGGATTGGATCTACAACAACCATGAAGGATATTGTGAATAGATCAAAAAGTTTAGGTGTAACAACGAATGAAGAGAAATTATGTGAATTCAGTTACAAACAAAAATTTATTGGTTTTATTTGGAATGGATTCAATAAAACAGTTTGGTTACCTGAAGAGAAAATTGAACAACGGAAGGATGAGATTAAAGTGTTCTTAAGACCAAAGGAACGATCATTGTATAATCAAGTGGAAGTAATAGTAGGGAAACTGGTTCATGTCTCTTATCTATTACCACAGTTGAAATGCTATTTGAATAGTTTACATATATGGAAAATGTCATGGTTCAATAAAAGTGCGATACAATATACACCTATCGACGTAATTGAAGATCTAGAATTTTGGTTACTTACCTTATCAATGTTTAAAAACATGAGATTGATAGTGGTACCCACGCCAAGAGAAATTAGTTGGGTAGGGGACACATCAACATCCTTTGGGATAGGAATTTTAGTTGGCACTAAATGGAGTCAGTTTAAGTTGTTGGACATATCAGAGACTCAAAAACGGAGTATTCACAGAATTGTGTGGCTGGAAACGGTTGCAATTCGATTGGGGGTATTGATGTTAGTTCAGATGAACTGGAAAAGCGGTCAAAATTTCATTGTATGGACCGATAATACGACGTCAGAAGGAGCTTTAAGAAACCGGAAATCAAAAGATAAAGACATAAATGAAGAATGGAAAATTATACAACATTTGATAATAAAAGAAGATCTGGAATTACATCCAATGCGCATCATATCAAATGATAATGATGCAGATGCTCTGTCAAGAGGAATATCTAAAGGACATTCAAATGAGGATAGAATCTGGTTAGATATCCCCGAAGATTTGGTTAACATCCTTAAAAACACCAATGTGGTAGTGGAAACTCCTTTGGAAATGGGATAGTTTGATCTGTCTTACACCTTTTTGGCTTTGTTGTTTTTGTCATCGTCATGTCCGAAGTAACCATTGTTATGATTCATAGGTGACATTGTTGTTCATAAATGAAATTATCCCTAATTGTTGTAAAAAAGAAATTATTTTTATGAGTCTTGGTCTGTGAGACCTTGCCTCGTCAAATTTTAGAAGATTGGACGCTGAGAAGAGAGGATCTTGTTTTTGAAAGCAATCTGCTTTTAAAATAGATTGATGTGTAAAATAAGTCCTGCCTTAGGGTCAGATGGCGTCAGGACCGTCTTCTGTTAGATGAAACCAAGAGGTGTCTATATCACGGATATCTGTGCCTATGATTCTCGCAACTCATAGCTCATTCAGTTATCTCAGTCACCTTTTTACCGTCAATGATCCTCAAAGGATATTTAATCTCAAGAGAATCTGAATAAAGCGACTTACGGTCGAAAATACGGGGAATTGCTTCAATTTTGTCACACCGAGATCAAGACTGACTAATTAACCCCGCCACACCGAGATTGAGACTGACTAATTCATAACGAGTTCATCTCAACCTAGGGATTTCATGCAAGCATCTTCTTTTGCTCCGCGATCATGCCTATTGACTTATCTTGGGATCATCATCTGATCCATGACAGACTTGCCGCCGGTAGGACGATTACCATAAATCCAACCTCACACCTTGGGAGGTTCCAAGCTTTGCTTTCCGGGAAAAGACCGATCCAGCCGTCTAATGAGCAGCTACACCTACTGAATGGGTGGAAATTCAACACGCTTGTGACCTAAAATAGTGCAGTAAAGAAGTTCTTAGCCTACATTACAAGCACCAGCAAGACGAATTTCCTGCTACCGGCAACCTCTCAGGAGATTTCAGGTTTCTGTGTATGGGCGGGAAGGACTGAATTCAATGACGCAGCACAAGATGTGAACTCTTGAACATTACCAAAGTACATCTACAGGTTGCAAGCTTGGCACCTACTCCACGACGTGGATTACCCTGTGAAGGTGGCTCCAAGAGTTACGGTCTTTCTACGAGCATCAGCAAGAAACGACGCATTGATGCCGGCGAGACAACAGAAGCCGGCCGTAATGATAAAGCACATGATGGCACTTTACCAAGACTTGGACCACAGCTCACCAAGAGATTTAGCAATCCTTGACTGCGCAATATGTGCTTTCTGGGGGCTTGCACGACTCGCAGAATTGACATACGATAACGCCTTCGGCAAGCAAAAGTCGGTGTCGCGCAACACATCCTGCTCAACGCACAACCTAACATCCTGTGCCCAGTCAAAGCTATTGAACGCCGTTTGGCGACAGCTGGCTTCGGCGCTTTTCAGCTTTTCAGCTACTTCAGCACCACCGATTCCAGGATGAACCTTACCAGATCGGTGGTCGTCTCACGATGTGTCAATGTCTGGGCAGCACATGGATGGACGGGAGTGTTGGGTCACTCTTTCCGAGTTGGGGGAGCTTCCTTGCGTTCAGCTCTGGGGGTCAGTCATGATGACATTAAAGCTCTGGGTTGATGGACATCAGCTTGCTACAAATTGTATCTCCGCGATTACTCTTTGACGGAATGGAGGAAACGCTCAGCATGCTCAACGTATTGAATGGGTAGCTCGCATGCAGATGACGGAACCGTCGGTTTATCCACAAGGTAGGGTTTTTTGCGCGGCTCTGGCTTGTAAGCAAACCTGAGTTGTGGGTGTATCACTTACCCCTTTGTGGTTTAATCCTAGGCAACGGTTTTGCGTTTTGCTCTGCATGTCGGCGACGTTTGATTTGCTTAGACTCGGACCTTCTCAATGGCTGAGGCAGGGTTTTCTCTGCTCAGAGACGCCACATGTCTTTCCACCGAGTGGCCAGGTTTGCGAACCAAAACGCCCCCTACCCCAAACACCACATATCACGCTCACTCACACCCGGCGCCTTTTTCGTGGCCATGGCCTGGTGTGGTGTGGCCCAATGTGGCCTTCCCTTTTAACAACCTCAAATCCCCATTTTAAGCCCCTACTCCCTGCTTAAGGTGATCTTTAGGGGGGCTTCAACTGGATTTGATGCTCTGTGAAGGCCATGAAGGGCTCGGGGTGAGGGCCACGGTGTGGCCTAAGCCCTGGCCCTTGCCACGGCCCCTCCAGGGCGCCTCGTGGCTTTGTTGTGAGCGTGAACCACATATCCTTGAGTGGCGTACACGTAGTACAGATTTAAAACTTTTAGAAATGCATTATGATATAAGTTTTGTCCCAATCTGACCTCTTACATGACATCAGTCTAAAGATGACCTTTAGACAAGAGGAAATAGCAGAAGATGTTCTGGCCCGTATCCAATGGATGCTCAAAGCAAGTAGATAAGAAGGTAATCAATGGAATGCTTTAACAATTACAAATTTCCTGCTCAAAGCAAGTAGATAAGAAGGTAATCAATGGAATGCTTTAACAATTACAAATCTCCTGCTCAAAGCAAGTAGATAAAAAGGTAATCAATGGAATGCTTTAACAATTACAAATTTCCTGCCCAAAACAAGAACCATCTGATGGTCGGATTGTTCATAAAATAAATTGGTAATACCTTGGGATGCTCTGCTGAGACACATTCTAACAAAGGTGTAACTATCTTTAAACAACAAAGGTAAATCCAAACATCATTATTTGTCCTTACTGAGCCTACATTAAAAAAACAAAGAAACTCCTCATTCACATCCAACAAGAGAATCTCGAATATCAATGAACCATGAAGAATGAAGTATTAATCCAAATTCATTACGTAGATTCATTTAGAGTTCACATTCATCAAATTCATGTCACTAATTCCTGAGATCATTATGTCTTGTGAAACCATTATATCCTATGAAATCATTATACCATTTCAAATCTTTAATGGATGAAACTTGACCCATAATCCATCTTGAAAGCTCAAAGTCACAGAGTGGACTTCTTTGATATTTTCCCTAACGGCTGATTTGCCTGCTAACTCAACTTTAGAGAATTGATTAATTAATCTAATCAATGTGATAGACACTTCAGTATAAGCTAAAGACAAGAAACACGTTCCGGGTGAGCTTAACACTCCAGAGAAAGGGGTTTTAGTTTCTTTTGAAAGCAAAAAAAAACTTACCAAATTGTTGACCAAGACAAAGTCTCGGACCTCCACTAAATGGTTGAAAACTAGATGGATCTTTACTTTGTGATGCTTTTCTACCATCTAACCAACGATCCGGTACGAATTCTTCTGCATCCTATGTGTATTTCAAAAAATCAAGACTGAATTATTTACCAAAATCTATCAGTAGATTGTATTTTTGATTCATTTTACTCACCATACCCCATACTTCTGGATCTCGTTGGAATTCTTTGATACTAAATCGACAATCCGTTCTAGATTTGAGTAAGCAGTTGATTAGGAAAAGTCGATTTTGAAAAATTCAAAGATCAAGTTAAAATGTGAAATAAGTAAAATCGCGATCAAGACCAACCCAGCTGGAACAAATATACCCGATGGTAATACATCATCTTCAAATACACGACGTACGTTAGACCAAACGGGTGGATGAAGTCTACAAACAAGAGAACATATCAATGATGTCAAAAAGGAGCGAATGTGAAAGATTGGAAGAACTGGAAGCACAAACCTTAAAGTTTCATTGATCACGGCTCTAAGTAATTCACATTGATGGATTTGATCGATAGAGATTTCAGACATTTGAGCAAGATGGCTAGATTCTAATTGAAGTTGATTCCAAAGCTCATCCTGACCAGCTAATTCATAAATGCAACTAGAAAGTAAAGAAGCCAGTGAATCTCTTCCGGCAATTAATAAATTGAGAAGTTCATGACGAATAAGGTGCGCTGAGCAACCTGATCGACGTATGCTATCGAGTAGGGTTTCAGGTTCTTGCTGATCATCCGATAAACTACGCTCTTTGGCTACATTCTCTATTAATACATCTACGGCTGCTAAGACTCTCTTAGTTGATGGATCAGGTGATAGCTTTCGAAATAATCTGACTATAAAAGCTAGGTAAAAAGAAAAGGGTGAGGATTAGTTGACGATGAACTTGATAAGATCGAAACAAGCGGCTTACACGGTACAAATATACATGATAAACAACGTGTTTGAGTGTCAGCAAAGTCATTAGAGAAAGCTGTTGCATCTATAGCACCTTGTTGTATAGGTCTATCCAGTAAGAGATCATTGAGCATGTCCAAACAATATCCAAAGAAATGTTGGGTAGCAATGGTGAGGGTTAAACGTGAAAAGACTAAAACAACCAACAAAAAAGCAAAATGGTAAATCACAAGTTCATCGCTAGTCAGGAGAAAAACAAAAGTGAAATCGAATCATACGATCTTGAATATCAACAGAATGATTTGACATATTTTGAAATTCAATCCAACTTATCAATCGAGAAACATGTTCTTCACAAGCATCCACATCAGAATTTCTTCGTTTCGTAAAATGAGGTCTACTTAATCTTCTATGCCAAGACCAAAGTGATCTTTGATCAGAATTAAGGATACCATCACCTAACAATGGATAAAAAGCCTCTATGAAACTATTTGATTTGCCCCAATTTTGGAAATTGTTAGATAGTATATATTTAACATCCAAATGTGAAAAGGTTTGAATGATTTCGGTTCCAAAGATATTAATTCTAATAGCTTTAGTTAGTTTTGAATAAGGATTAAGGTAATCTAATGAACTTGATGGATCACCTTTTAAGAGTGCATTCACCTTATAATATAAGAATTTCAAATCGAATGGCAATGTACAAGTCACTAAAGGTGCTATTCTACTATTTAATGATTTTGCCTTGGTTTTATTTGAGTATTCTTTAAGCTTCCATCTGATCTGATTGATCAAGTAAACTAACAAAATCAATATTATCAATTGATCCAGAGAACTGTGAACGTTAGGAATCGGCATCAAGGATGATAAGCCGATTTTATCCATTATCATTAACTTCATGATATAGTTCGTAAGAGGTCGTAAGAGGTCGTCAGCTGGGGTTTAAAGTTTAAGATGTATGAATCTGATTATAATTTGGATTTATATAACTACTGAAGACAAAATGCACAAGAAGAAGAAGAAGAAGAAGGAGTGTTGAGTGCTGCTGATAGTATAGTAATAGTATATAACTTGCTTAAACCATCTTACTAATCAATTTGCTGTGAAGATTGGCCGGCAAAAGTACTCTTGGCTACTCTTGGTGATAGCTTCAAGTTCCATCAACGTCAATATTACGTGATCTCATCAAACATGACCAAGCACAATCTCGTGTCCACTGCGATCGAAGCTATCGAAGCAATTGCACCCTTGGCCCAGCTTGGCAAGAGATCCTGATTTCCCACTCGCGCAAATTGATGGGGATCTGGTCAAAGCTTTTTAACTTACAGTCGATTTCAAAAAGGTGGACCGAGGTTTGCTCACAAAATTCAAATCATTTGGCTCGGAAGTTGAACTCTCGTCAATTGGTATGTAATAAAGCTCAACGTCAAGTCATCGGAGAATTCCAGATTACCCTTGACCGCAAAACTCTGCAAGACTCGAATATCATCTACTCTGTTGACCGCGAGACTCAACATTAAATCTCATCTACTTTTGAACGCAAGAATCAAGTGGTCGAAGGACTTGTACAAAGCTTGCCAGGAATTCCGCGCAGAGGCTCATGACCATGACGCCACTGGAAGACGTACACTGTTAGTTCGGGTCAATAAAAGAGTTTAAGAGACTCTCCACCTCGAGCAAATTCAGGGGGACTTTGGTTCAAACTTTATGCAATTGTCGCAGCTTCAGTCAATTCAGAGAAGCTTGTCACAAGTTTCCCGCCAATTTATGTACTAAAGTTTTCCAGGCAACTTTGGTCAAGCTTTTGTAAATTCACTGTTGTATACATACCCCTGAACACTTCTCCGCTGACGGCCTCTAATTACTAATACGACCTACATCATCGAGTTGATCATGGATCGAATCGGCTTACCATCAATTACGGTACTCAAAGTTGTGTATAGTTCGTGTATAGTTTTCCGTGTACAGTTTTTTTTGGCAGGGAAAAAGAAGCCAAAAGTATATCTTCATTTTTTCCCTGCCAAAAAAAAGCATACACAACAAAGTATACACGAAGTATACACAACTTTGAGTACCCTATGATTCCTATTCCTGTATGTGCTTACATGTCTTGCCTAATTATTCTACACTGTCTTTTAACTTGTATCACTGAAGATTGAGTTATCTATAGTTGATTCCTCTGTGTCCCCTGTGTCTGTAACTCATTGTACCTATTGCATTCAAATCCTGGTCCACATTTCCTATGGGTGAGCAAAATTGGACAAGATTCCTTGGGCGGCTGGGGTACAGCTCAATGGGAGGCATAATAAAATTCAACACATTTCAATTGTGCAAAATAAATCAAGTCCACCAGAAAAATCGCAAGGGAAAGTTTGGGCATGTGTTCTCCAGAAACTTGATAATCATGAGCTGATTTTCTTGTCTTTCAATTTTTTCTCAAAGGACCCAAATCGCACTATGAATTGCATAATCCCAATAAATTAAGTGTGCATGAGAAGCATAAGTTTCAGACTTTTCACTTTCATGGAGTGAACTGTGTGAATCTTCCTTTATGATTTTATGAAGTACAATTACTAGAAATTCTGTCAAGCCACTGCTTGGATTCTGGTATGCATATGTGTGTGACAAATTCTAGTGTGATTCCTAGAGACCACATCCCATCTTAAAGGTGGCTTAACTTGCAGACTTTTTCAAGCTATGTGAGTTCTGCTTTTTCATCATCATCATTAACAAGATCAAGACAAACTGTTGCATTCATGAAATGCAACAGTGCATTGCACTAGAAATGATGTCTGGACTCTTTCTTCATCACACCGCGGGAAATTAAGTTCAAACCCTGATTGAGCAGAATTGTGGTGTCCGTGTCCGCAACTTGTCTCAATTGTGGATCTAGTTCACATTATGTTCACATTACATTCACAAGTTTCCCTTGGGTTTCTCTGATAACCCTTTGTCAGGAGACATATGCCTTCAGACAGTTGAGTGTCTTTCATATTGCATTCCCTGTCCTCTAGGCTCTCTCTTTATGCTTGCCATATACATGCCTTCAATAATGTTTGGCAAATCCAGATTTGATGACTATGGCATCTTTAAGTCCAATGAAGTCAGGAGTGAGAAGGGTGAAGCCTAACCCGTCCTTGACCCGTCAACCCACGTGATTACAGCCTGAGGGAAACTTGTGAACCTGATGTGAACGAGTTGTGATCTGAAATCTGATGTTCTTTTTCATGGTTTATGGGAAATGGCCACACTGCGCTTTTACAATAGCTACAGTAGTGCAAAGGTTGCTCCTGGGCAAGTGCTTTTGAATGGACTAAGTTTCAACCCTTTAGCACTAATGGGTCCCGAGATATCCCAAGGTAACAGTTGAAAATCCAATAGTTGGATTTTGGCCTTGGAGGTCAAGAAAGATTTTGTGCCTTTGTGTTTCATTGTCACACACAGACCAATGGGGTCAGGTTGATCAAAAGGCTTAATTCAAGTACACCCCAAAACGGCTAACTTAACTAAGTCTCTCTCGGACAAACAAGTAGTCAAGAGAGGGACTTATACCTTATACCACGACTTTGGTGTATGAGCCGGAAACATTCGGCTGGGGACTTTTTCAACACACCATATCTGCGTATCCTGCAAACTAATGTCCTTGGAACCAAAGAAAAGAGCTGCGCACCTGCTCAATCTACACACATGTATGTAGCCTACATCTAATTTGATTCAGACCTCACTGAGCAATGCAATTGTGAAGTTTGTAAAAATCACCAAAATTGGGCAGAAAGCTGTCCAGCCTGTCAAAAGCTCACACCAAACGTGCTGAAATGTTACACAAAGACAATTCTTCAAGTCAACTTTTAAGGGCTTTCCTGGCAGCAAGGAAGAGATTTGAAAGTATGTGCGTGTGTAGGATGATCAGGTGCAGAGGACTTTTCTTTGGTCCAGAGGATATTTGTTTGCAGGCTATAGAGATATGGAAGATTGAAAAGTTGCCCAGCCAAACTTCTAAGTTGTGGTATAAGGTATAAGTCCCTCTCTCGACTACTTGCTTGTCCAAGAGGGACTGAGTTTTTTTTTCATTGCTTTAAGTGTTGTTAGAGCATCCTCACCGCGGCTGGAACCGTAAACTTGATACAGCTGTCCAAATTGACAGACAGACAGCTGTATCTCAGCTGCAGCCAGCCTTGCCAGCACTGTGCAAGCTGGATATTGCTTTTGTGGTTCTACCCTTGTCATGGATGAAGGTTTTGTCGGATTGCAACTTCTGAAAAAAATCCAGTCTTTTCAAACTTTTGCTTCAATCACTTGCTCGGACGATCAAGTGGTGGTAATTGTCATACAAGATAGCACACACTGCAACCAACTAGGGTCTGTGTGTGAAGCTGGAATGTCCAAAGTATGGGAAAACAAGTTTTCCGAGTATTCATGAGCTCAACTAGCAACAACTCGAAGATTTGTTATGTTTCCAAAATTTTTGGAAACATAAGCTGACACCTGTGGCCAGGTGTGGGACTATTTGGACCCGGTGGAGGGTGTCTGGCTGGAAACGTAAAGTTTAATTTATGTTTATGTCAGAAACGTTATGTTTCCGGTGGCGCGGTGGGGATGCTCTTAGAGCCTTTTGGCTATCAAACACTGCATATGATTTCCAGCACCTGTAAAAACCCCTCTGGCTGTGTCAGGGGGAAAGGTATGCTGTTGGCTGTTTCAACTAATGTACATTGTGTGGTTTATTAAAGACTTCTGGGGCGCTAAAGGATGTGGAAAGAGATCATTCTCTCAGTGGATGCCTGTTCATTGGCGTGTTTTCACTTGAGATTCTTGCCCACACCCAGCGGCTTTTCATGTTGTTGCAGTAAGTTGTGATTGCTTTGTAAGCTGATGGGTTGTTAAGTATCTTGGTCTTGAGCGGTAATAATTTGAAGGGCTTGAGGGCTTTTTCAAGAACTTGACATTCTTTGTTGTATCTGTTACATGTTAGTAGATACACCATGTAAATATCCTTGTAGCATGTCGAAGTTCACACACAAAAGACTTTCCTTAGACCCTGTAAAGACCCATCAAAGAGATACCACAACAAGCACATCTTCCCCTTATCACCTGGGAGGTTGAAAGTCAGTTGACTCCTGCTGACCACAAAGGATTCCGCAAATCCTTTGAATAAATCACTATCCACAAAGGGTGCTCAACATCAATCTCAGTCTAAATCCAACCAAAAGACTTTGAGATTTGTTTCAAAACCCTCCGTGTGTGCACGTCAATGTGCTACACAAATATTGACATGGTGATAGTGTTCAACTTTTTTGACTCCTTCTTGGCAGTCACAGCTAGAGTCACCTTGTTGCTTAAAGTTGTGTAAGTAGTGGTTGAGATGGATGTGTCCTGACCTTAGCTGCGTTATAGCTGCTATTTTGTGTTTTTTGAGTTCTGAGATGAACTTCAGGTGTTTTGAAGGTTGTGGTTTGTGGCCTAGGCGTTTCCGGTTTTCCGGTGTTATGATGCCTGCACTTTTCAATCTACATTCTTTGATTGCTGAGATGAAGCTTGTTGCTGTTGGAGTAACTCTGAAGGTGTTTGGAAGTTTCTTCTTCACCTTCTGATTCACTATTTTGTTGACTGTTTCATTTCTGTGTACCCCAGAGTGTCCTGAACACTACCTGATTGTGATTCGTAAGGTTGGGAAGGCTTGGTGAAGGTAGTTCATTTGCTTGTAGGTGTTTTCCCGGTCTTCCAGAGACGTTATCGGGGACTTGTTGGAGCGGAGGTCTTTAATGACTCGGTTGTTGAGTAGGACTGTGACTCGTCTAGTGTGAGGTGAGGCAGTCCTTAATGCCAGTATGAGGCTCATGTGGACTCTGTGGTACTCGCCCTGAAAGATGCTGTGAGTTCAGGCTGGTCCTAGATGAGCAGATAGGGATTGGTTAGTGTTCTTACACCACACTGCCGCTGCAGTGGTGGTCTTTGGGATGCAAGAGCCGTCGGTGAAGATGACAACATGTTCTAGTGTTGCCAAAAGTTTGTTGGCCTTTGATTTTGTGATGTCAATGTTTTCTTGAATGACCGTAGAGTAGTTGATAGGTCGGGTTAGTGTGTGAGTTGGATCCAGTGGGATTTGTTGGACAAATTCCTCTAGCTCCTTGCTGACTCACAGGGGGAAAAATAGGAGCTCACATTGATATGAGCAGGGGACACTTTCCAGATATCTTCAAAAATTCTTCAATCCACATTTTTTGTTGCGCTGAGGTGCTCAGCCTTTGATACCTATGTTCTGCTTGAGTTTGCCAAAGCATGCTCATCTTCATCTTGCATGAGTATCCCTTGAGCATAGATGGTGCTCAGGACTCAGCTGGCACACTGCTGTACACTCAGAAATGCCTGCACATTTTAATCCTTTGAAAGAAAAACCTCAGGTGCCAAGAGGGTCTTATGTCCTCGGACTTTGAGATCTCATCCTTTGGGAGGGCCCTCAGTCTTGACTCTCATCGGAGTCTCAGCCCACGGAAGCTGGCCCTGACCCTCAGAAACCCGGTAATCCAACCAGCGCTCTCAACAACGGGGCGACTTCCTTTCACCCTCTCCCAGATTCCCCATGATCCATCCGAATTCATGATCCATAGTTCATTTGCTTGAAGTTATCATCCTTACTCTCACTCTTGTCTAAATTTGCTCATCTCGTCATTGTCATCGATAATCATTCAGTTCGGATTTACTTCAAAATTTCATCACTACCCGGAACATTAAAATTCTCTAAGGTATGCAAAATCCATCGTCGGTCTTGCGTTAACGGATGCCTTGGACGAGCTGATTCATAATTTCATAGTGGTCACATCACTCCACAATTGCCTTTGACAGTCTTGAAGCAGGTTAGGTTCACCCACCTTCGCGAGATTCTTACCCCTTTTGTTATTCATTTTGCTAATCAATCATGTTGGTACATCTCGATAAGTCAGCCTCTCAAGTCTTGTCCACCCAACTTTGTTCGAATTGTCAAATTAAAGGACATTTATCAACTTATCGGCTGTGCGATGAGGTGTGTCGCAATTAGGTCGTGCACCTCATACTATCATTGGTCTATTAGAGACTTACGCTGATTTTCAACTGTAAAAGGTATGGACATTCCTTCTACATGATTTTGTTTTAAGGCGGAGAACAAATCGGTCCAGTGAAACGAGTCAAGATTGTAGCATGTAAGGGTAATGCCGAAGCAACTGCACCTCCTGCCTAGTTCTTCATTCAATCAGTTGAGACAAGAGGTGTCCGTTTTGACGTTCTTAGTCTGTGAATCTTATCACTCTATCTCCTTTAACATCGAAAAGATTCAGACAAGTAGGCAGAATAAGCAACATGAATTATGAAGTAAATCCTGTTTTCGATTCCAGAAGTGAAGTCGTCATCATTTCATCACATTTAATTGCATGGTAGACCACCTCTTTTCTAATTCAAATTGAACGCACATATATGTATCTTCCTTGTATGTTGTAAAGGTCTACATTCTCTTTGCTTGTTTTACTGACCTGGTAAACTAAATAAAAGCTATGGCCTGCACAAATAACAACGACAACCAAAACTTGTGGCAGTTTGAAACAAGTTGGCTGTGAAGGACTACTTCAGACAAATGACACTGCTTTTTGATATATCACATGCAGGTTAACTTGGCTTTAGAACCAGACTCCGAGTGAAGCATCACCCGAGCTCTACAGCAACTAGTCCCACTGCATATCAGCAGATTGATCGGAATGCCTCTTACTGACAATAATTGATTGGTAAACTGATGCTTGGTAACTAGAAAAATGCTCCGCAGGCCCCACCTTGAACGGATGCTCATAAGGTTGTCCAAAGAGGTACTCTTGAGTAGGTAGAATGTAACCAATCTCACAATTTACAATTTGTAAGAGTCTTGCCTTCAGATATCGAGGGTGTGAATTAATAATATTCCACATTTTACTTTGAAGACTTGAGGAGAGAAAACGCTGCCGCAATGGATGGAAAAAAACTACCTCTGGAATGTATTACAGGTTGCTTTTCTCTTTATCAAGTAATTTGATATGGAAAATTGACTTCTTCACTCAAGATTACAAACCTCAGGGACGCAATACTACTCACTCAATTCAATCACAATGGAGAACTTCCAGAACTGTTACAAAGTACATTGTATCTGCCTTCTTCAAATGATATAACGATACAATTTATTATTAGTTTAAATAAACTTGGTACACACGTCTGTTTTGTTTTTGTTTAATTATTTTTTGCGCACTCGCCATGAAAGGATCAAAAGATAGAAAAACACGGAGAACCAGACACTTCTTTGACTTCTCGAGTGATGCAAAACAACATAGGTTTGAAATAGTGAAAAAAATAAGTAATTACCGTAAATCGGAAAGTTCAAGCAGTAAAGCTTTTGAATTTAAGCTGCCGAGTTGAAGTCGTGCTCAAATGTTTTTATTCATGTGCCTCAGCATCAATGTCTGCTTGAGTCTCAAAGCGAGCTTGATCAATCCCTTGAATGGGACTTGGCATGTCAAAGGGTCAACTGAAGCAAATTCCAGGTGAGGGATGTGATTCAGTCGTGGTGGGCGTATAAATTTGAGGTCTGGCCGTCTCCCAAGGGTAAGGATCAGCTGGGTACATCTGCAAGTCATGGGAGTAGTTCTGCTGTTGAGGATCTCCAGATATATAAAATAAATTGAAAACAGTGTTATCAGGTGGCGGTCTCATGAACTGGTCGTTGGGCGGTTCTGATCGAACTGATTGGGGAGGTTGTGGCGATTCGCTGGTTCTTGTTGGTAGTCTCAGAGAAAAGCTTCAAGCTGGGATGCGCTTTCAAGTCAGGCGAATTGATGTTTTCGACAGGATATAAGACAAGCGGAGAACTCACTACTTCTGGGCTTTACTATCAGCCATTCTACACTGTATGTGATGGTCAGTTCCATCGACCGCTAAGCTGTGTAACGCTTGAACGAAATGAAGGGCTAACTTGCGACTCACGAGTCTAAATGAACCATAGGATAAACATCGTCAAAATCGAGACAATTTCTCTGCGCGGATAGGATTTATGGACTGAAAGGTGTTTTACCTGACAAAGCCGACGCCACGATTGACACCAGAAGCACCCATATTTTTGTCGTCGCGCTCGCGCAAAAGGCGGATCTGCATGAGAGAGGACCATACGCACATTAGTATCAGTAGCAATGTGAAGTTCGTTTGGTGGATAGTGATACAGTGTTCACAGAGGAAATCTCACTGGAGAGGAGGTGGATGTGTCTCCGAAAAGAGCAATCAAATCCTGCTCAACCCAGTGATGCGGTCAATTTGAAAGGTAGACGTTCGCGCTTGACAGGTCAGGAAGACTAGAAAGCATTCCTCTCAAAGTTTTGCGCTGGGAACCATAAACCAAATACCCAGCTAGTCAGCATCGAAGCACTCGAGGGCCATGAAGAAAATATAGAAAGAGACGGGGTACATACCGCAAAGCTAGCCTGGTAGCCCTCACTTTGAAGTCCATCTATACAAATCGACGCAGCCTGAGTGCTAGACCAGAGGCAAAAACCATAACCTATCGAGGAAAACAAATCAAAACCCAATTCAGCAACTTATTTACCAATAAGATTATCATCTGGGCATCAGAAATCACCTTTACGGACACTGATTTTCAATGTATCAGCTTCATCAACCATCACTTTGACACTGGGGATCTTATGTCTAGCAGCTGAGCTGAGGTTCGAAGTGGCTGAAGTACGAAGTTTTTCTAGATCGCCGTCGGTAAGAGAAGGGGGCAATGTCAACATTCGGGGACGATGCAGTGCTGAGTATGTGATGAAAAAATCCAGTTTTGGTATGGCGTCTATAAAGATAGAATCTTCATAGTTTTGCACATACCGATTGATTGGTCCATTTTGATATCTATCACCAATTTTTGGAAAGTTTAAAGGTAAAGTTTGACTGCGGGGAGTACGAGAGACTGGTAGAACAAAAGGATAAAAGATTTCGGTCAAAATCTTAGAATATGAAGAGCAGATAAGACAGAAGATTACATCTTGCAGACTGGATTTGGCCCCCGCTCGAGTGACTAGATCGAATAAGGGCTGTGGCGGGACTGGTTGGACTTGTTGAAGGTGACGCTGATTGATCGCCATCGCCATCAAGACCACACTCTGATCTTTCAGTGGACTCATCAGGAGTTGAAGATACTAGAGGAGCAACTGAACGCCAAACATCATCACTGAGCGCTAACCAAGCCCATATATCCTCATGCTTAGACCGAGAAGAAAGTCAATTAGACATATCAGGAAGAGAGATACGCCGAGGTGCAGTCTTTTCAGATAAACAGACGGTGAGGCAAAGGAAGAATCGGAAGACATTTTGAGACGAGATGATATGATTTTTATGACAGGCGCACTGATACTATTCGGGATCAAATGTAAAGGACAAAGACACTAGCTAATCAATCCCGAGTTGAACATTCCCGGTTTGAATTGTTGATGTTGGCTTCTAATCAAAGTTGAGGTTCAATGGAATTGATAAAACGACCACGCCGGTGATGAAAATTGAAGTTTGACTTTAACTTGATCAATTTTTAAACCAATGGCAATATCAAGAGAGGGGATTGAAACCAACAATCTCAATGTCTTATTCCACTCATCAGGATCAAAATACATTCATCCATCTGAGAAGAATTAAACTATTGGTATCAAGTCTAAAGCCCTAAGCAGATTGTAAGATGATTTTGGTTTTGATAAGTAAAGATTGAGATCAATCTAGATTTGATATATTCATAAATGAATTGGGATTCTGTTTGATAATTTGAGCAGTCCATTCGATAGATGATTGGGCACCCGGACGAGGCACGAGGTAGATTGCCCCCGGTCCATGGATTAGCGGGGCTCTCACCCGCGCCTCTGAGATGCAGGTCATAGCAGCCTAGACGCGACTAGACGGTTTCAACCGTCCGACCTGATTCCTGCGAGAGATCTGTGCAATCTCAGCTTTGGGGAAAGGAACAGGTGAAGGAAGAGTCTTATAGACGAATCTGTTCGTCCAGAGACTCCCTTCTCCCACATTCCTGTGACCTATCCTTTCCCTCCCGTCGCTCATCCTTCCCCTTTCCCGGTCATCTTCCCTACGTGACTTTGGAAACTAAAGTCTTACAAGACTGTAGTTTTTCGTGTAGTTTCTTACTCAATTATAGATAATAATAATCAATTAAACCATTATTTCATCGTTTTAAAAAAACTCGAATCATCAAACTAATATCGTAATGTCAAAAAGAAAGAATCAAGCGACCAAAGAAGGCCAAGAGATTGTTAGTTTATTAACTGAAAATCAATCCAACACGGTCGGACAAAGCAACAAGGAATCGACCACAGATGACCAGGCAAATGCCAATAACATCAGTGGATGAAACGCTAACTCGAGCAACCAGGTTAATACCGAAAATGCTTCGAGCAGCGAAATCATGAAAGATTTATCTAGTAGGTTTATTAACTTAAAAAGATAAACGTTTCAACATTTACTGACCAAATACGTTTGTGAAGGTCAACCATCTGATTTATTAGATAAAACTAATTCAATCGACCTAACATCAATCGACTCCAATTTAGGAAAGAATGTCCAAACTTCAGATCCAGTGTTAGATAAAGAACAAGGCGTAATGTCAACAACAGATAACACGACCGAAGGTTTAAAGAAAGGGAAAGGAAGGATCGTTATAGATGAGTCTTATACTCAACTTTTAGGAAGTACGCCACAAGCGATTGCTCCAGGTAATGAAAATTCTTCCCTAGAAATACACATAAGTTTCAAACTGAAATAACTCATGCTCAATCACGGGTCCGCTCAACAGGTGCTCCTTTAACCCCATCAATCATCATAACTCAGCAAATGAAAGACCTAGATGTAGCAATGGAAAAAGCGACGGCTGCGGTGCTAGCTGGAAAGAAAGAAGAAGCTGCATTTTATTTTAGAATCCATGAACAAATGAAGAAAGATAACATCGAGTCTTCAGAAGCTATCAAGCCTATGCGCAAAGAAATCGTTATCATAGAAGATCAAATTCCAGAGGCGACCAAACTTGACAAAGATGACAAATTAAAACCAGCAAGTGCGCTTAAAAGTGGAACGTCAAGAGTTGTAGAGAACGGATTTACATTCAGAGAAGGCGCTACAACTGACACGGATAGTAACGTGGGTTTAACTCCCTTTTTTGAGAAAAACATTAATGAACTCAAGTTACCGGTACCACTCACAATCTTTAACAATGAATGGCAAGAAGAGGCTTGGCAGTATCATGCTGAAAAACGAGTTAGAAGTGACGAGTCTACGAAAGCACAAAATCTTTATTCAGGTCTTCCCTATCCTCACGAGTTTTCACAATCGTACATGGCTTGGAACATCAATTATCGAAACTTCATAAAGACTATTCGTAATAAATTTAAATTCGGTACTTTAGCTGATTGGTTAGTTAAGCATAAAGACAACGTTGAAGACATTAGGCAGACCGAGTGTTGGATGGTTGCCTTCAGATATGACATTAAAATGAGGTCATTGTTATTCACCGAGAAAGTTACTTATGAAGACGGAACGAAAGGTCCCATCAATATCTCGAAAGTTAGAAGAGATGTGAAGTTTTTATGACAGGCGCACTGATACTATTCGGGATCAAATGTAAAGGACAAAGACACTAGCCAATCAATCCCGAGTTGAACATTCCCGGTTTGAATTGTTGATGTTGGCTTCTAATCAAAGTTGAGGTTCAATGGAATTGATAAAACGACCACGCCGGTGATGAAAATTGAAGTTTGACTTTAACTTGATCAATTTTTAAACCAATGGCAATATCAAGAGAGGGGATTGAAACCAACAATCTCAATGTCTTATTCCACTCATCAGGATCAAAATACATTCATCCATCTGAGAAGAATTAAACTATTGGTATCAAGTCTAAAGCCCTAAGCAGATTGTAAGATGATTTTGGTTTTGATAAGTAAAGATTGAGATCAATCTAGATTTGATATATTCATAAATGAATTGGGATTCTGTTTGATAATTTGAGCAGTCCATTCGATAGATTGGAATGCGTTTGATGAAGAGGTTGATTGATTGAAGGTAAATGAGGTTTTTGTTTGATGACACCGCGGGAATAAATAGGTCCGAGACCCGATTGAAGAAAGTTGCGGTGACGGGGTCCGCAACTTTCTTCAATCACGGATCTTGTTTGCATTACGTTCGCATTACGTTCGCTAACCTCCCTCTTCCTCTTCGAATTTTAGCAAGTTTTCCCGTTTTGTTTGAAACACTTCATCCTGATCCCTGTATTCGTCTTTGGACTGAATATAAAGGAGCCTCAAGGAGCTCAATTGTGATGATCAAACTTTTGTTGACTCCGAGTCTACATAACCAAAATTGATTTTGTCTCTGGTTATTTTCCGTTCATCTAATGTCTATGATCCACTACGATAGAGTCAACAATGATAAGATTAAAAGTATATCAATTTTAGTTGAAGATGCTACTGAGGTGTGATAGAGATCCACACAAAACTCGATGTTGGAATTGAGGTATTGAAGATGTCGGCGTTGAGATTGTGTGTAGGAGAGTCGGGTGAGTGAGGAATCAAAGTGGCATGAGGTGAGGTGAGTCGAGTTCATGATTCATTTCTTTCTTGGGGGTTTGCTCAAGGATGGTCAGCAAACGTAATGCGAACGTAATGCAAACGAGATCCGCGATTGAAGAAAGTTGTGAACCCCGTCACCGCAACTTTCTTCAATCGGGTCTCGAACCTTTTTATTCCCGCGGTGTGATTGATTTTCATTTTGTAAAGATTGGATGGTCGGTTGGAGCAAGGACAATTGGTAAGGGTTTGTGTAAAGCGGAATGAGCAAGGAAGCCGGGTTTGAATGTTGACTTCTTCTTGATTGTGTCCATTTGATAGTTGATTACTGTAATATTGAGATGGTGAAAGAGGGGTAAGCAAAGTCGAATTTGAATCAGAAGCACGCTGGATCAGAGGATCAGCAAGGATCCGCCCCGTACCCGCATTGCGGCCGGATATCATGTCCAGGGGTGTCAATCAGTTCCCATTGTGTTTTTCATCCAACATTTGATTGGGTCTCTCACTGCTCATTCAATTTGGTCACCTGAATGTGCAAGCTGAGCATTGAAAGGCCTGAGTTGACCTGAGCAGATGAGCTGGACCTCCCTCAGGCTTCTCAGCTAAGGGATAAAGCCTGAGGGTGGGTTAGCTCATCCGCTCAGGTCATGCTTACCATTTAATCAGATGATGAGCTGCAAGAAAACCTGAGGAATTTTGAAGGAAATCTGGAAACAAACCCGAAACAAACTTGGAGAAACGTTGAAACATTCTCTGCTCACATCAATGTGAGCTCCTATTTTTCCCCCTGTGACTGGGTGCTGAAAGAACCAATGGAAAGGGTTGTGGTGGCAAGTTGGGTCTGAGTTCTGTGCCTGGTTAACAAACTCGTATATTGGGGAGTGGGAGGGTTTAGTGAGAGATGTGGCAATGAAGTTCATAATCTTACACTGAAGTCGTATCTTTGGGGGGATGTTGTTGATGTTGTGGTGCAGGAACACAGCTGGGGTTGTTGATAAGGCTCCTAAAGCTGCTCTTGCACATGTGTTGTCGATTGCTGTGAGTTGTTTAATGAAGTTGTCAGCCCTGAGTACATATACATGTACCCAAAACTAACCAGTAACAGTAAAAACACAAGTTATAAACTAATTACATGCTACATACTCAGCATAAACTGTATGTAACATGTAATACAATGTATC